CAGTCCACCCTTCAGGGATTGGAGCTAAATTCTTTCACTTTTAGTCAGTGTGAGCTGCCACTACAACTCTCACTATGGGCCTTTTATGCTTTTTTTCCCAAGACTATCACTGAGGAAGTGTCTGCAAAATCAAGGCCTTTGTTCTCAAAGGACAACCTTCTTATGCCCAGAGAGCTGTTCTTGTTGGTGCTGAAACTCTGCCGTCTGAAGATGCACATGCATGTGGTAGGGGTGACTGACCATCAGCGTGGAAACCACTACTTTGAATTTCCTGACTCGGCCATAAAACCTTGAAATCACATTTCATTAACGCTGATTGTCTAACTCAGAAGAAACAGGATGAGGGGCTATGAACACCTGACAGATTTTTAAGAACAAGGTTTAAGCAGCTGATTTCTTCAATTAATCCAGAAACAAAGTCTTCTTTTCAGTGACCTGGGAAGGACTAACAGACTTCTGAAAGTAGTGCTTTATCCTCAGCTGTACTCAAACTTGACCTAGCAGGTGTTTACGGGAATAGGTATTTGTTTAAAGCTAAACACTTTTGGGGCAAAGAGGCTTAAACAGGCGCTCGCTCAACAGAAGTTCTTCCAATAATGGGAGGTTGCCCTAAGGAAAACTCTTCGGTGCTTGAAGCACAGTGGTGCTGGAGTCTCACTCCACCCCTTTGGGTGTATCCTGCTGGTGTCTCTCCCAGTTCCTATGCTGCCAACCCTCAAGGAGGAAGGGCCCAAGTTTAGCCTGATAGTTCTCCTTCCTGGAGCCCTCACAATCACGCCTGCAGCGTTCCACCCAACTCAATTTTACCACTAACCGCTCATTCTGCAACTTCCCGCCTCCAGGGAGGAAAAAAATTCTCAGCTCAACTCACTTTGTCACATGATGCAAGATACGGCCAGGGTACCAAGTACGGGAGTTTCTAAGAGGCAGGGAGGAGTCCAGTAAAGGTTGGGAAAGGGCCACCTGTCACTTAAGTCCAGGGAGAAATGCTGGACTGTTCGAATACTAGTAGTCAGACCCTGCCTAGCAGTCCAAAAACTCTGCTGCCTAAATTTTCAAGACCCACATACTTTGCAAGTATCTTCGTGTATGTGTTTGTGTGTACGCGTGTGTGTTCTGCCAGGCCCACGTCAAATAAAGTATGGTATTTACGTGAGCTTAAGTCTTCTTCCTAAATAACGTAGAACTTGTTGGTTCCCAATGTTCTTAGCAACCCCACAAGGGGAAGTTAATGGTATAGGCTTCCTGCCTGTGGCAGTAAGATGCAAGGATCACACACAGGGGACACCTACTCATATAAAAGTGGGTATCTGCATTGTATGTGTGGCATTCAGTCCATGACAGGCACGCACAGCAAAGGAACTACTTAAAATACAATTTGTGACTGACCTAAGGGATTTTCAAAAGGTTCTGTGATGCTGACACCTCAGGTCAGTTAATTTGTGTGAAACTGAGGGACGAGTAATGAGGTAGAGGCGTCTTGAACCCTCCTTTTCCATTTCTGTTCCAAGCTGCCACACTGGACAGATGGCAAAGAAGTCAGGAGCTTTGGGTTCCAAGATGGCTTGTCCCCACAGGAGACATGGATTTGGGTAAATCACTTCTTCTCTGATCCTTGATGCCCTTTTGTGTAATTCAGGAGTCTAGTGTCCACTCTGTCTAGGCCTGCAGTGAGATCAAATGAGACAACTTTCATGAAAACACTTGAGCTCATCATTTTTCTCTGAACTAAAGGCAGCCCTGTGGGAATTCTCCTTCTCTGCAGACCAAATACCTAAGGTCCCAGTTGAGAATTTCCTTTCTCTGGAGAGAAGTAAACTAGAGCCCAGCTCCCCTGCTAATTTCTATCTGGGACTCATAAGATTAAGTCACCTGCTGCCAAAAACCCAAACAAAACTAAAATAGAAAGAAAACAGCAGCTTATAAGGGAAGAGTTCTTTCTACCTTAGGATAAATGCTCTACCATGGAAGGTTTTCTGACACAGGATCCGGTCATCAAAAATAAGCCATCTCCATTATCAGTTCTGAATGTAAGTTTGAAATGAAAGGCAAATAAATGCTATTGTCTCAAAGAATGAGGATGGTTACGAGGTACTCTGCTCCTGCTGATGCCCCAGTGAGAAACTGATGGGCATATGACCCAGACTCTTGTTGATAGCCTCTCTGCAAGCTGCAGAAGCTAGGTAGCTTCAGAAATAAGAGCATCCAAGAATATCAAAGAAATAACTTTTTTGTACTGACATCTTTATAATTTTGTAATTGCTTACTCAATGCTGGACAAAGAATCTCAGAACAAATTCCCTTAAAAGTGCCAAAAGAATCAATTGACAAATGCCCTAAACTGGACATTTGTCCCTAGGAAGAGCACCACTGCAGTGATGTCCAGGTTGAGGCATGCAGGAACTAGCAGAGTCCACACGTAAGGCTATTACTGAGGGTCTGGCAGTTCAAGAGGCTGGCATGTGCATGGCACCTCCATCCAGAATGCCACCTTCTGGCTGAGGGACATCAGCTGCCCCTGCTCTTGGCTGCAGGATCGCAAATTTCGTGGCTGTGTGTGATGGTTTGAAACCGAGTTTCTGGATACCGTATGACTGTGTAATTCCAACCACTTGCAGGTGTAATGGGGCTGCAGCTAAAGTTTCAGTACACACCATTCCAGAACAAGGCTGGATCTCCTGCAGGCTAACTATGAAGCCACCTTGCTAAAGCAGTGGCCCAAAGTGGGGTGTGTATCCATAAAACTTCTAAAGTCTTAGAGTTCACCACTCTGCAGTTGATCAGCCAGTCTTAGGAAGGTCTTGATGGCTTCTGTAATCTGGGTTTCCTTTGATTATCTTGAGAGTTCTATTTAAATAAATTTTCTGCACCACTCTGTTCTCTCATCGGAATTAAGTTTTCCTGGATTCAGAGTGATTTTCCTATCTTTGTTGTTCTTCAGACTCTGCAAGTCCACACGTGAAGAAAAATTATGGTAAACCTAAGAACAGAGTTGAAGCAATTATTTTTAAAATTATAATTACAACATCAAGAACATCAAGACTTCTGTGAAAATCAAGCCAGACCTGAGACTTATATATATATATATATAAAAATTTAAACTGATAAAACCTTGGCTGTGAGAGGAAATAGACGCCCACTTGTTTTAAAAAGTTAAGTCTACTTACACATTCATCTCAATTTTTTATCCAGTTCAACAGCCCGTATTTTGGATTTCTTAAGAGAACTAAAGGGCATCACAGATTTGACCCGTCAGACACTAAACAGGAATTCCAACTCCCTGAGGCAGACATTTCCTCCATCTATAGGTGAAAACACATTGTGTACATGTTGTACTTTTTGTGCCAAAGCTATTTTTTACTCCAAAGCTCTATCACCTTTTAAAAGTTTTTAGTAAGAATATACGCAAACTGATTGAAGAATATTTAAAAAATTATAATTACTACATTTCTATGCTTACCACCCTCCCAATCCCAATTCAGCAAACATTACTATAAGCCTGGTACCAAACTGAGCACTAAAGGAAAAAAGTTGAATATAATCTCTGCTCTGGGGAAGGGGACACAGCAACCAATGGGAGGAGGGGAAATAAAGCTCTCAGTGGAGGCCACACAATGCTGCTGTCCAGACCGTGAGGATGCCACTCTATGAGGGATTGCTACTTTCTCCTCTTCAAAGCCACCCATAAACCAGATGCTCCAGTTAGGGTGACATATGCTCCACCATGTCAGTCCACAAAGCCAACTCTGCTCTGTGTGCCTTACTTGGCTAACCACACCCCCCTTGCCTCCTAGATGCCATTAGTTTTCTGGTGTGTACAGATACACTCAATGCATTGTAGTACCTTCCTCAGACCTGCTTTTGCCTTCAGCTTTCTAAATCTTTGGAATCAACCAGGGACACAAGCTGAGAAAAATCCGAGCTCATGTATAGTTGACTAACATATGTAACAGAAGCCAGCACAGTGCTCTGCAAATAGTAGATATTCAACATTATTCCCTCCCAAGCCAACAAAAAATCCACCATCCTGCCCAGAGACATACCTTTGAAGATGATCACTTACCCCTGTATGTTCTATAGATTTCAATTTTCCAGCTGGCCTTGTCTGACTTGCCTGTAGTCATCCAATGCAGCCCATTCATGGTACTCATACTGCAAGTGCTGCTTCCACTATAGCTGACAAATCCTGCTGAACTCTACTTACTGAGCACTAAAGAGTTAGCTTCTCCTATTTACAGCTGATCACTCCAGACCACTGTGGGGGCTCCCAATCCCTAGCCTTCTATGCTACAGATTCTTAAAATGTCAGATTTTGAATCTCAGGACTTTAGAATTCTTAATTTATGCTCCTCCTTATACCAAATCTTCACACACCCAACCAGCAGCAGCTCAAGAAGCTTGGTGTAAAGATTTCAGTGCATCACATTGGAAATGTTTCCCAAACCCAAATGGCTGGCAATGGTCTATATGGTCTAATGTAAAAGCACTGTTGGTCCCACAGAACTATCTACTATGATGGAACTGTTCTATAAATTTGTGCAGTCCAATGCAGTAGCCATTAGCCACATGTGGCCACTCAACACTTGAAATGTAGTCAGTGTGACTGGTAAACTAGATTTCTAATTTTAATGGAGTTAAATTTAAATATAATAACTACATATGGCTAGTGGTAACCATATTGAACGGTATAGTTTTAAAGTATCAAGATTTTGAGGGACATGATCACTTTCTGTAGACAGTATTTTTACAAACCAAAGAGGTGCTCAATAAATAATTTGAGAGCAATGGGTCACTGATAGTTTCTCTACCACCTATCTTTTCTAGCTCCTCTCAAGTGAAAATAAAACCATAACAAAAAGAGAAACAATTAAAAAAAATCCCACATTACTTTAAAACCAATCTCCCTTGAACAAAACTAGTCATTTTTAATATATGAGTGGTGTAGTCAAAGATTAAAAATAAACTAAAGCCAGCAAAACAAAGAATTAGAAAAATAAGCATACTAGAAGTTATGTATGTTTAATGCTTAAAAGTCTGAATGCACAAACAATCTACCATTATAGAAGTACTGGTGGTCAATACAATGCATTAGAACTATGTACAATGCACAGTTTAGTATCAAAATCTTTCTACACTGTAGAGTTTTACGAAACTGTTAATGACATCAAACACTAAGCACTTAAGACACCATTTTTTTTTTCTGCTACCACATTAGGAACGTCAATGGACAGTCCATTTCAACTTGCAGCATCCATCCATTTCTAGTATGAAATTAAGTAATTTTCTACTTATACAATAAAGTTTATCTACACGGTTCTTTTGATTTTGATCCATAGCAGCAAAGGCACTGTACATCAGCAGATCCACAGACTTAAAAGATTTTTAAAGCATTCAAACAAAAAAAAAATAATAATAAAAAAAGGAGTCACATATTATAGTTTTAACAGCAACAACAACAACATAAAAGATAACACAATGTTTCTGGCACAATGGCACAGCCTGTGTCCATTTCAGGGACATCCAACTAAGACATGGAAAGAACCGGAGGTAAAGAAAGCAAGTCCTCATCCCAGGAGAGTCCGTTCTTTGTGTTTTTCAGAGGGAGGTCTCTGCAAACCCTCCTCCACTGTCCTTGTTTTGTAAAAGACTTGACTTGCCCAGCGGTGGGAGTCCTTCCCCGTATCTGTGCAGCTCCCAAAGAGCATGCCACAAAATAGCCATAATTTCTGTAATAACAAAACTGCCCAAAGATATATATCTCCCTTTGCAAACAAACGTGGCAAAAATATCCAGAAGGGATTAAGTTCTCTCTTTGAGGCCAATTTAATTTGTTCATCTGTCTATAATACAATAAAAAAGGGAACTAAAAACATATTACAAAGACACTTGTCAACAAGTCAAAAAAAGAAAAAAGAAAAAAGTCCAATGACTTTTATCAAATATCATCTAAAGCTATAGATATACTGGTTAAAGTTGTCTAAATAGACCCAAATGAATATGACTTGGCCTGTCATGTTCTAATTGTTCAGCCAAATTTCCAAACATCTTTGAAATAAGTAGAAAACAAAAACAAAAAACCTAATAACACAGCAACATATTGCTTCCATGTATAATTATACATTTCACATCTCTATATAGTTATTAGTCTACATTTAGTGACATTTTTAATCAATTATTTTAAACCTTCCTTTCCCCTCCTTTGCCAAAAAAAGGGGGGAGGGGTATCAAATACAACGCACCTTCATTATCAATGCAGGAGCAGACAGCTTTATTTAGTCAGTCATTGTTAGAAAGCCTTCTTTAAACAAAATAAATATATTACAGATATAATACATAATTAAAGATTCCGTTCACTGTTAAGTATGCTTATTCCATGTTCTTCCAAGTAGATAGCTGAAGATTTGGTATCACAGGTTTTAATGAGTATTCACAATTCAACAGCAAGTAGGAAGTTGGGTCAAGGGAGGGGATTAAACTTCACAACTGCAATGAGTATTTGAAATCCTTGGTTTTAGATGCGAGGGCAGGGGGTGAACAAAAAAAAAAATGATAGAGCAAAGTGCTACAAGGAGAAGGAGTCCAGTTTGCATGAAGATTTGTCCTTAATAAATAACTTCATAAACCGTGGCCTTCTTATCCCCAGAGCCAGTGACAATATATTTGTCATCCACAGAGATGTCACAGCTAAGCACCGATGAGGATTCTTTGGACTAGGAAAGAAACAGATAATCAAAAACGTTAAATATTGGAAGAAAATCCCACGAGTACGGAGAGGCAGGTCTGGAGGACTTGGGAGCAAATGCAAATAGAACATGCTCACTGACTAATAGAAGCCACCATTGGGGAAAGGCAAGCACAGCACTGCCTTAAAATGACAGAGCTGTATGGGATCCACTGTGGGCATCACCCTCACCAGGTTAGCCTAGAAGCTCTGGCACTGGGGACATCAGGTAGGCAGGCAGGTCAATGACAGGAGCACCTCTGCTGGTGAAGCAGGGCCCTATTTCAAACCATATTCTCCAGGAAGTAAAGAGCGTGCGATTAGTGTGAAAAGCCCTCAACTTCAGTCAGACGGCTTGGATTTAGGCTGAGCTGTGGAATGCTGGACAGGTCACTTAACCCGTCTGAGCCTCAGTTTCCTTACAATGGCAAATAGGTTAAGACATTTTACCTGCCTACTGCCTCAGAGACATGCAGCTGAGTTCAGATGGGATAATAGATGAGAAGCAAGAAACAGCATTGAAAACACCACATTTAAAAAAATGAAGAAGGGAAAAATATTCCTAGTAAAAAGCCTATGTTCTTACTGTAGAAACATGATACAAACTTGCAAGAGGAAAGAGGTTCAATAGTTGGAAAGAAAAATGTACCACACTTAGAGAATTTGTATAAAATGTTCAATTATACTATGAAGTAGTCAATGTTAACTTTTAACTGAATTGTACTCATTAAAAAAAAAAAAACACAAGATTTTAATCAGGACTCTGAATACTTTAAACACTTAAAAATATATGTATGACATGCAGTTGCAAACCCACTTCCAGTGTTTCTCAAACTTTTAAAATCACAATTAATAAACAATTTGAATTCACAACCTAGTACACACATAAGATATATACTTATGCTTACTATAAAAGATACTCTCTAATTTAAAAAAATATATATTTTTAAATGGCAAGTAGGGACCATCTAAAAGGCTGTGATCCACAACATGAAAAACAGTTTATTAAATTATAAGCCTATGACAGCAACAATCAGCTATTTTTGTCCTACTGATTATCTTGCATATTTCCAGTCTATATACATGTTTCAGATTTAACTAATCTACTTTATGACTTAATACCTCTTGGTCAAGAAAACTGCAAATCTATTATTTATGAAAAAACAACACTAGAAGATAACATCCTTAATTATATAAGGCTAAAAAAGCCAAGTCTTTATTTAGCTTGCTTATGAAATTCTCACATATCAGTAAGAGAGAGAAGAGACTGTGTATTTATATGCATGTTTATGTGTACTGTGTCTACAATTTGGTCCTTCTACAGATAATTACATAAAAGAAATAAAGTTCCACCAAATCAACAGGTAGAATAAAAGTTTATAAAATTAATTAGGATTTGTCAAACTATTCCTGAATAACTTCTTCAGAAAAAAAAATAAAAAAACTAATACTAACAAGAGTATATTATAGCTAAATGCTCAACTTTTAAAATAAGACATTTAAAAAGACACACACACAGTTCACAGAAGACATAAAACCTCTACTCTAACATGTAAAAAGGAACCTAGGATGAAGAGGTGAACAGTGCACTGGGCAGCCCCAGCTCTGGCCTCAGAGAACGAGGGAGACTTTCCCCCGCTCCAGTGCTGTGACTCTTAACCTCCCTCGTACAGTTTTCTTCTCTGCACAATGGGAATAATACCGGCTCCGACTTCCCAAGCCACTTACGTACATTATTAATCGGAGAGAATGCACAGAGGGAGTTTGGTTGAACAACTGCCATGAAGCGAGCACATGGTAAGCAGAAGCTAAACAAGCTCAGTGTTACCTGGAATATACTGGCCCCATAAGGTGTTCTCCAGGCATTCAGAAGGTTGTCCTTTCCAGTGCTTACAAACCATTTGCCTATAAGAAAATGGTTTTGAAAAAGGCAGTGTTTGTGTTACTTTGTCAGACACTCAAGAATTAGCTTTACAGAGCACCAAACTACTCACAGAGAAATCATCCATTTGTAAGAAACATCCATTTGTAAGCAACAAAAGTGATCATTTATTTTATTTTAGAATCTTAAAGAGTTCAGTCCTTCAAAATAACAGACAGGCCTCTTCTTTTTACACACTCAACTTGTAGCTAGATTTAATTACAACCTTCTCACACCCTTTTGCTGATCATACTTTTCACATATTCTTTTCACTTCAAAAATAAAGCATACCTTCCAGGATTTAATGAGCATTTATACTTATGATAGGGATAAAATGGAATAATGCCAGAAAACTGGATGGCATTAGAAAAGCAGGCAGGTATAAGGACGTAACACAGTTCTGAAGAGGGCCACGTTAACAAACGAACTAAAGGACCTGACTTGGAATGAAACCACAGGAAGGTGGAAGGAACAATTCTGGATGACAGAAAATGGACAGAAGCAGCTTACTTACCACAGTGGGCAAACTTCAGCGACAGCACACAGCTCTCATGAAGATGTAGCTGGTATTTGTCTGGCTTGGTGACATGCAACACTTCCACGTTACTGTTCTCCATCCCCACTGCGAGCCACTCTCCGGTTGGGCAGTAGCCCAGAGAAAAGATCTAGAATTAAAACAGGTTAACGGTGACTATGGTGGACATGCTTCATTTAACCAGTAGGTACTGTCTCTACTTAAATTATGAAGGAGATCAAGATAATTTGAATCAAACAGAAAGAAATTAAAGTCAAAAGGGTGATCCCAAAATAGTAAGATCTCAAAGTGATTAATCCAGAGTCAAAAGTGACATCACCACATGGTAAGTGAACTGCGCCTTCTTCTAGTATATCATATGTTTCCTCAAACTATGTCTCGAAAGTGTCACGGGCGCACAGACCGTACCTGGGAGGTGAAGTCGTGCTGCTGCAGCTGGCGCCCTTCTCGCAGGTCCCAGGACCTGACAGTGTTGTCCAAACCGCCCGTCCAGAGCTTGGTGCCATCATTAGAAATGTCAATACAGCTGGCTCCGTCTGTGTGGCCCTGGAATTGCCTGAAAATGTCAAAATGGAGGGAAAGCCCTTGAAAAGTTAGTTTTTAATTGAACTCAAATTACAATTCCCTGATGATTCAATTGCAATACAGGCCTTATTTGTAGATTTCATTTTGATTTATTATGTTTTCAAATTATTCAAAGTAATAACAAAGCATATATGAGGAATTAAAGTTTAATTTAGATGCTAAATTTCCTGTACTTTCTGTTTATTTTTAAATATTTAGGAAGTGCTTCAAATTACTCTTCCATTAAAACATGATTGATATTACTGATGGAAAAAAAATCTCTAAATAAGTTAACAAAAGAAAACATACACCTACACATATAGAATATGAACTAATCAAAGATGTTCTGAGACCTATTCTATCACTGTGATATGAAAGAGAGAATTTAATTTTCCCTTCTGCAAAGAACTGGGGACAGCACAGGAAGCAGATCAAGTCCTGCAGTGAGCAGCGACGTGCCTGTGGGTGGCTGTGCAGGACAGAAAGGCATGCTCTCAAGTAAGGCACGTGGAAAGACACTGGGTGTGAGCTACTGCCCCAGGAATCACTCCTGGTAAAATGTACAAAAGACACTGGAGGAAGAAGGGGTCTGAAGCAGCTCTTCATCAAAGAAAGCCCTACCCATAAGCAACAAAAGCGATCATTTATTTTATTTTAGAATCTTAAGAGTTCAGTCCTTCTAAATAACAGACAGGCCTCTTCTTTTTACACACTCAACTTGTAGCTAGATTTAATTACAACCTTCTCATACCCTTTTGCTGATCATACTACCCCTTTCTTGCTGATCTCTTAGAGTGTTTGACATTTGGAGACTTGTTTCAGGGCTTTACCTGCCAACACCGACCTACCAATACTGATCCTTTACAATCTCATTTGTTATGTCTATCCATTCTGAAAAGTGGAACTAGATAATCTACACCCAACACAGTGCCTGGGCCCCATGGTAATTGCTAAATACTTTACTGAAGGAATGGACATGTCAGATCCATATGGCATCCAGGATAGCACTATGCACCATGAATCTTCTCATTGAGAATCTCTCAACAGTAATGGCTAGCAAGCAGATGGCAAACAATGTCTAACGAGCTCGAGGTCATGGGAACCTTATGGATGCTGATCTATATCAAACTGACCTCATTTTTTAAAAAACAGAAATTGGTGATACTTAGTATAATGTTAAAAAGAAAGAAGAAAAAAAAAACTCTTATAAAGTTCAAATAGTCAAAAGAAGGAAGATTTCACATTCATAATTTGTTTGTGACATCTTAAAATAGACCTGTTCTTAACAATTTTTAGTAAGATAATTTATATTTCATCTATTTTCTCTCTCTTCTCTCTCTTATATACACACACACACACACACACACATGAACACGCACGCACTTTGGCACAATTTGGTAAAATCAGCTCCTCCTCACAACCCATAATGGGTCCTGCCTACCTACCTCACCAGCGTCTGGTTGTGCAGATCCCACACGGCGATGTTGCCGTCGCTGCAGCACGAGAAGCAGACCTTGGAATCGGGGCTGATGGCCAGGGCGTAGCAGGCGGGGGCCGAGGACGTCAGCTCTGCCTTGATGCGCGGGGTCGGAGCCGCCAGGTCCCAGATGGACAGAGTACTGGCCTCCCCGCCAACAATTAGGGTGCGACCATCAGGGAGCAATCTGCAGGAGCGGATGTAGTTATCCCTGTTCTGTAGAGACAAAAACCATCAAGAGATTACTCATGAGGAAAGGAAAACAGCATTAACATGAGAGCAGAAATCCATAAAAGTATTGTGTTCCCTCCTGGTTTAATGAGCCATTTATACTTACGACAATGATAAAGTGGATTAATGTTAGAAAATTACATGAAATTAGGGAAGTACTTAAACTTGATCTACAAACCTTAGTACTGAGCTATTTAATCTTAATTAGCATCAAAATGCAAAGATCTAGACCCACTCTCACCACGACCAAATTAACCAACTGCCTGTGTCATCTGCACACACAGATACACATGTACACTAATGTAGGAGCTCTCCCAGTCCTGGAGGACCCACACCTGAAAGCCTGGCCTTCTCAGACTCAGCTCTGCTACTGAAAGGTCCCATTACTACTGCCAAGAAAGTGTCAGGAAGGTAAAGACACCTGGCAGTCTGTTCCTTTTGCCTGGCCTTGCATTATACGACTAAAGGGCATCATGGGTTTGATGAAGCTGCACCATTCAGAAGCCAGACTCCATTCAAGGGATGTTAAGTAACAGGAAAAAAAAATCCTCCCCGCTCATGAGGTTACAAGAATCTTATGTACATTTAATTATGTTAAATTGATCTAGCCTTATGCTACTGCAAAAATTCTACTACTGGTATAAGGGAAGAAAACCAAACTGAAATTTCCTAAGTAACTCAAGGATAAAGGCCAATGAAGCAGCTAACGGGCTATCCTGGCACTTGCCACATGAAGTAGCAGGTTACTCTTTACATGTGACAGATAATGATATCTGAAACTATCCTCTGGGCTCTTAATTTTCTTAACTATTAGATAGGAAAACAACTGGTTTGGCCTTTACACATGGGAGGCAGGGTTAATGAAAACTGGTTCATGTGCCACACATGAAGAACCAGATCATTCTGCCTCAAGGGATTGAAAGAAGACACACCTCCAAGTGAAAGACCACAAACCACCTATGACCAACTACCCGCCTGGGATCAATACTGTGTGGATTTGCTTGTATATACAGTTCTCCCACTATCTCTTCCTGTCCTCTGAATGAAAGCCTAAGTCTTATTCATCCATGTTCACTCACCAGACAGTCGAGCTGAGAGACAGGACTCTTATTGCCAGGGTGGCTGATGTCCCAGACCTTGACGCAGCCCTTCCCGCCCGTGTACACGTGTCTCGTGGGGTTGCTGATGGTCACTGCACACACCACCTCCCCGTGGTTGAGCGTGTTGATCTGGCGAGCGTGGCGGGGGATGCCGGGTCCGATGAGGGCGTCGGGGGGAAAGGGGACGGGCTGCATCTGGCCGTCTGCACTAACGTGGAAGGAGTACGCTCTAAGGCAAGGGAGAGGAGAAAAGGTAGGAAGAGGAAGATGCAAAAAAATGTTACTTAACTGTTCAGTGTAATGAGATGAAAAATAAAATATTTTCAGTGTCACCTGTGATTTGTAAACAAGTCAAATTTACCCATATAGTGGGAAAAAACGTGATTTTCAGAGTCATACAGCTAAATTTATGATCAAATCTCAGACTGACTCTTTATACTAGCTGCTGTGTGACACCAGTAGTTATTTAGCTTCCTCTGATCTTTAGTTCTAATCTCTAAAATGAAGAGAATGCTTTCTACAAATCAGAGAATTAAATGAGGCAACCAGTATCAAGTACAGCTCCGGCCTTTTCAGGGGCACTCTGCGAACTTGCATTGCCTTCTACTTGGGTGAATCACAGGCCTGTAATGAAATTTTGCCTCTAGCTCACTCTAAGCAAGTGACTTACTAGTGGAGATAGATAAGCCAAGGTTTCTAGGCTTACATTTTGAAATGGCAGATGCGCCCCCTCCCCCAAAAGATAAAACTTTATGTTAATACCTTGATCAGACCTGACAATTACAAATCCAAGTAAATCCAAGTAAAGCCAAATGGAATGAGAACCTGAAAAAACATCCCAGGTGATAGCCCCAAATTTCCCTGAGAATGAGTAGCTATCAGCTGCTTCTTCTCTAGTTCATCTCCAGGGAAAGCCCTCAGGTTGTGGAAGCATTTGGTTCTAACACACAGCTTAAGTCAGAGTACATCTCTCAACAGACTCATCTTTATTTTAAGGGCACTAAAGTCAGGGAGGGACTAGTGAGGCTGCTGTGATGCACACTGGGTTTCTGGAAGCAGGAGATGCCAGCGGCGGGTGGGAGGCAGCTTGGCCTGTCCTGGGGGCTACCGCAGGCAATAGCCCATTTTCAAAATTATGTCATTTTATGTTGGCATGGAGGTTGGGAATGTGCTCTGCTTATGGGAAGAAGTTTACAACAGACAGACGTACCAAGAAGAAAGTACTATGGATGCACAAAGAACAGGAACTTAGATCAAATCGCAGAAAAGATTGTGGATCAAACTAAAACAGTTTATGATTCCTTAATGTAAAAATCTACAGGCTGGTCACATTCATCAAAATTCAGCCCATTACTGAGGGGGCTGATCAACCACCTGAGTGTTCCCCAGAAAAGATGAAGTGTGCGCTGTGGCTGCGGAAGATGTGAGCACAGATAGTAGAGAGCTTTTGTTTTCTCTGTACACTACAGAGAGCTGTAGAAAAAAGTAATGTCAGACTTGCTGAGGAGGAAGGAGGTGGGCAGCTGGGAAGCCAATGGGTAGAAGACATTCTTTGGGTCAAAATAACAGGACTGAAAGACACACTGGACATATGACCTGAGAAAGGGATAACGAGTAGGACTTTAGGGCTTAGAACCTGGGTAACTAGCAGACCACATTAACTAGTGAAATGACAGGGACCAATAACTCAGGGGTGCACGGGGACATATGTGAGGAGGTAAAGGATTTGGTTTTCTTGGACTTGAGGGAAGATGGAAATCCAAACAGCTATGATTCAGGAGAAAGATCAGATTAGAAATCATCCAAAAAGAATAGAAATTGAAGCTAAGGGGGGAGAAAAAATAATCCTGAAGCAGATTATGTTGTGGGAAGTGTACTAGATGTGGAATCTAAGAGAATGCTGACATCAGGAATTCCTGGCAAGAGCAGTCAGGGAAGGAAATTACCAATAGAGACAAGGAAGTGGAGGGGTGGGGGGAGACACAGTCAATCACATGACAGTTTACTAAGAGTTCATCCAGTTAACATGTATTTCTTGAGCATCCCAGCATGCCAAGCACTATAGTGAGGACTGGGCAAGAAAGAAACCCACACACCCTGTTCTGAAGTCACAGCGTGGGGTGGAGGGCACATTCATGAGTGAGAGGCTCACTTAAAAAACTATTGAAATATCAGATGGTCAGTGCTATCAACAATTCCACTATACTCTGGGAATTTAAAGTGAAGAAGACAGGGAAAATGGCAATGGGGGCTGCATTTTCTAATGGGCATTAATTATCTAAAGACAGAATGATGATAAGGAGTATGGCAAATATGAAGGCGACATGAAAGAGCATGTTTATTATCCATTTATTCAGCAAATATTTAAATGTATCATATGTTCTAGGTAAGGGGTAGGGGATGTGACCTTCTAGGTTCTCAAGTGTAGCCTGAATTCAAATTTTACAAAACAAAACCTTTTGTTTTAATTAATACCTTTTTATTCATCTTTTATATTTTTATTTTTAAAATGAACGTATTTAAAATACCAAAGAATTAAGTTTCAATGAAATAATCCTCCCAGATTGACTGGCACAATTAGAACATTAGTAAGCCATAAGGGCTAAACTGATGGCTGCTATGCTCACCATCTAGTTCTAACTTCCCCCGCCTGACTGGCACCACGACTGCACGAGGCTGGTTAGTGAGTTGAGTATGTCTGTCTGTTACCAGCTTTTGACAACAGTGCACTGTGTTTCTGTTTGTGGAATTTGTAAATAGTTGCACAGATCAACAGTATTTTTAAATTCTGTCTGCTTAACAGCCCATTATGTCAAAGAAGACCAAGAGAACACTGAAGGAAGAAAACAGATTTTATAATGAGGATTGGAAATTGCAATATTATCTTGTTTCTGCTAAAGATGATTTGCTTGCTCTGTGATACTGAAATATCAACAACAAAAAAATTCAATGCTCATCAGCATTATAACACTCATAAGGACCACAAATATTTTAAATTAGAGGGAGAGGCACGAAAGGCTGTATAGCAGAAATTAAAGGATGAAAGCAAAAGCAAAGACAATTCTTTCAAGCAGCAGTAAGAGCTGGAAATAATGCAACAGAAGCAACTTATAAAGTAGATTATATACTTGGGAGAAAAAAGGGAAGCCATCCCGTGATGCAGAAATTGTGAAAGAATGCATTCTCTAAGTTGTGTAGGATGCTGAGACCCCAATGACATTTCAAAGTACAAATAACTGCCTCTTTTCAAGGAGAACCATAACTCATCAGCCGTATGAAATAGGCTCAATAGAACAACTTCATGCAATACTTCAAAAGGAAAATATTATTCGATTGCTTTGGATGAATCAACTAATATTACTGACTTGGCACAGGTTTTATACTTCATTTGGGACATAACAGAAGAATTTCTTCTTTATGAAGAGTTACTCGCTTTGGGCACTCTTGTGAACAGAACACACTGCGAATAGGTATCTTCAACAATTTCCAACATAAGTATCATGAAGTTGGACTGAATTTGGTAAATTTAGTGAGAATACGTACAGATGGTGTACCTTCCATGACAGGAAAATATGAAGGCTTTATTGCACAGATAAAAAGAATATTAACAGATCCAGATGCTCTCATTTTTTTTCATTGTTATCTTGTGTCAGCAAAATCTCTGTGCTAAAGCTACTATTTTAAGTGACACTTTGCTACAAGTTTTAAGTATTGTTAACTATATTTATGCAAATGCAACACAGCATCATCAGTTTCATAACATGTTAAAGTTGAACAATAAGGTATTCAGTGTGGATTTGTTATATCATACTAAAGTGTGTTGACTACGGCACAGGCAGGTTTTAGTCAAAATTTTCTCTACGAGATCAGATAGTTAAATCTTACAAAGAACAGAATCAGCAATGTGAATTATTAAAAGATGATTTCTATTGGAATGCACCATTTCTGTGTGAGATGTAAATCAAAACAACTTGAATATTTCCTTGCAAGGTAAAACTAAGGCTACATATGATACAGACCATGCTGCAACCAAAATGCAAAAAATCCAAGCATTTTGAAAAATGCTTTTGAAAAAAGCTATTTTTTATCAAAATACTTGTTCAAAAGGAGATTTTGGATGATATATGTGAATCGTTTGAAGAATATGCAGTTGTTGGCTGGCCACGGTGGCTCATGCCTGTAATCCTAGCACTCAGGGAGGCCGAGGCGAGCGTCACAAATGACAGCTGAAACTGTGGGCCTTCATGCTGCAACCAAATATTCAAATATTTTCCAACAAAAAATAGGCACAATAAAGTCATTAAAAGGTTAGTTAACTTTAAAATTAATACATACTTTTCATTTGTTAAAATTACTAAGTACACAGATTTTTTACAAAATAATGCATATTTTAAAGTATGTCTAATTGAAGTTTCTTGAATGTTGCCTTATTTTATTATAGCTAAATTAATGAGGCCTTCCAACATGAAACATGTCCCCACGCCTGAACCCCTAGGTGTTCAGGTGCTGTAGAATTCAAGGTGAACAACAGAGACAAAGTCCCTGCCCTTACACTAGTCTACATCCTAAAAGAGAAAACAGATTAATAAATAAATAGGTTAAGTAACCTTAGACAGTGGTAAATGCTGTCACACACACACACAGAGTTTCAGATAAAAAAGAGTAAAAGTGCATTAAGAGTGGTGGTTGGGGATTGCTCTCTGGAGACAGCACAGGAGCTGAGACCTGGAGGAAGGACACGGGCCTTAAACACATGGAGAGAGGAATATGTCAACGAGTGGGAATAGCAAATGCAAAGACCTTGAAGCGGAACAAGCAAGGAGGCCAGAGTGCACCCAGTAGCGAGTGACAGGATATGAGAATGAAGGGAGAGGTAGGGGCCAGACTATAAAGGGCCTTGTAGACTGTGATGAGGAATGTGGATATTATTTGGAGTAAAACAAGAAGCCATTTGAGACTTGTGTAAGGGAGTGACATGATTCATTTAACATTCTGAAATAATCTTCTGGTTGTTAGGTGAATAAATTGTAGGTGGCAGAATAAAGAACAACTAGTCAGGCGGCTATTGCAGCTATCTGGGGAGAAGCCAGTGACTAGGGACTGGGAGACAGAATTAGAAACAGAATTTGGAATTGAAAGGATCATTCTGGCTGGGTGGAGGCACAGAAGTTGCATTGTATGGAATGCTTGGATTCTGGAGGTGACACAGTTAGGGGTGATTAACAAGCT